TTCCCCTTCCACCCCACCCACTTCCCCTCCTTCCACTCCTTCCCTCCCTCCTCCCTCCTCCTCCCTTGTCCTCCTAACCTCCCCTTCCTTCCTCCAACCTTTCCCTCCCCCTCCCAACCTCCCCTCCTCCTCCTTCCTCCTTCCCTCCCTCCCCAAGAATTCCTTCTTGACATCCTAATGAGCACTCCTTGTTGCCTGCACTTCTTTCGCACCTACTCCCGCACGTCACGGAAAACTCCATTACCATCTCGTTGCTTCCTATCGCACAAGCTTCACTCGTTCCCACTTCGAGCTTCTTTTGCAATACTTCTCCCTCTTTGCGTGGTACAGGCAAACAAGGCAGCAGCTTTTAGCGCTCAGCATTCTTTCGCTTTCTCTCGTGTGATTTGTTTGGCACGAGATATCTCTCTGCTTCTTCCTTCATCCTGCTTCTTCACTTCGTCTCTTTCCTGTTGATCTGGGTGAGCGCAAAGAGGTCTGATCGCGAATGCAGGTGTGTCTTCAAAACTTCGCACATGTCAAACCGCGTGCTGGAGTTTGCAGGCAAGACAGCTTCTCAAGCCCAGTCACTCGCAGCACGAGCAAGCGATCACGCGAAAGAAGCGCATGAGAAGGCATCAGCCAAGCTGAAGCAGGCGACTCATCGCATCGTGCAAGAGATCAGGGCAGGAAGTCCCAAGGCTCTGAAGCGAACCTCTCCACGAAACCTCGAGGAGGAGGCCGAACGCGAGGAGGCAGAGTATGCAGGGCCGCTGAAGGCGCTGCTGAAGGATGTTTGTGATAGCGCGGGGTTTGCTTTCGGAGAGGTTTGGATTCGCCCTCGACGGATCGTGCCTGAACAGGAAGGGATCAGAGTGCAGTGGGAGTTCGTGATGCGCTACTCGGGGCAGTACTACATCAACCCCGTCAAGTTTGCTGAGGCTCGCAACATTCAGGGAGTGCTGGACTCTTTCCTCAAGATCGCTCAAGACGTCCGCTACGTCAAGGGCCAGGGCATCCCCGGGTTGGCGTGGGCACGAGGGGACACTAACTGGCAGAATCTGTCGGCTTATGAGGTGTTGGACGAGCAGCTGCAGGCGGACGGCAGGAGCGAAGTGATGATGAAGATGTTCGACGCGTCGGTGGCTGTGCCTGTGCGGCATCCTCACCTCTCCAAGGTCATGGCCGTCATGGTCTTCTACCGCCACCGCGGCGAATCGCAGGAGGCGATGCCGGCCATGCTCGACCCCACGAAGAACGAGAACCTCAAGCGGCTGCTCGACCATGCCTGCTTGGTCGCCCCCAAGGCTGTTGACTACCACGACCTCCTCCCTCAGTGGAAGAACGCGCAGCATGCGTGGGCAGAGGCTCTGATGGAGGAAACGGGGTCTGATCTTCAGAGAGACGAGGAAGAGGCGGACGAAGACTTCAACATGTACAGCTTCACAGATTCGAGGTACACGCTCTTCCTGCGACGGCAGGGAGCGCAAGTCACGGCAGCTTTCATGAATATGAAGCAGCAGCTCGAAAGCCGGAGCAGGACGCTGACGGCAGTAGAGGCTGAATGGGCCAAGGGGAAGTTTGCATCGCAATTCACCGCGTACTTGGGGAAGTTCAAGGGAACTGGGGGAGCGCCGCCTGCCAAGACGGATCGCAACTACTGCATGTGGACATTCCTGGGAAGCTTCTTAGCGATCGTGTCGATGACGTACCTCGACTACCGCGTTGGTTTCTACATGCACAATGAGTACCCGCTCTACGCGCTTGTGACCTCCTTCTCCGCTGTTGCTCTGATCTTGTTCTCGACCCCAACCTCTCCCTTCGGACAGCCGAGGAATGTGAGGCAGATGAGGATGGCAGGGGAGGGTTTACAACTGACTTGATGCTTCCAGGTCTTAGGTGGCCACATGCTCTCAGCAGGCATCGCAGTCTTCATGGACTCCAACAAGCCAGACTTCATGCCACAGGCAAGACTTCCCGTCCTCGCTGCTCTGACTCTTTTGCTGGTAGTACGTCATGAACGCGCTAGCACCCACTGTGTCGATCATGGTCATGACGTACACAGGTGCGTTGACGACGCGTGAGGTTGCAACTGATATGGCGTGTCAGGGCTGATGCATCCTCCGGCAACTGCTTGCTGTACCATCTTTGTGAGTGGAGGAGCTCGGGTGAGAGAAGCAGAGCTTGACTGCGACGGGAATGACGAGGGAGAGCAGCTGAAGCAGTTGGGCTACATCTACATCCTCTTCCCCGTCTTAGTTGACTGCCTTGTATGCCCGCCCTCCCTGAGCCTCGCGGCTGCTCTGACTCGTTCGGCAGATCATGACGACGTTGGCCCTACTGGTCAACAACATGTCGAAGCAGAGGGTGTACCCTTTGTTTTGGTAGCCTTGTAAATCATGTAAAGAGCGCGTGCTTGTCTTGTTCTCCTCAGCTCTGAAGCCTCAAGGGGGGGGGGAGGAACCAGCTTTGCGAAGGGTTTCTGTCCTGTCGCGTTAGACAGTGAAGGAGGAGACATTGGATCAGGCAAGGCCAGCAAAGTTTTAGAGTTTTACCTGGTTGCCAGCAGTGCTGGTTACTTACACAGCTGCGGCATCGTTGCTGTCACTGGCGGTCTCGGTCTCGGCTGCCGCTGCGCCAGCTGAGGACAGTGAGGAGGACTGTTTGCATCACTTGGAGCGGTACCGTCAGCATGCGCCCAGCCTCCATGTGTCCGCTGCCCCAGGCGGACCCCCGGGCAGCGCCGGCTATCATGCCATTGCAAGATTTATGCGCGACAGCGAGAATTTACTGGGAAATCGAACAAGGGTACGCCTCTGGCCTCTTTGCCAGCGACTTGACTATGTTCAGGTATCTCTCCGCCGCCCCCGCCTTGTCGTCGTCGTCGTCGGTGAGGTACTCGGCGGCGTAGTCGTAGAGGAGGGCGGCCGCCTTGAGCTCCTTGAGCAGGTCTACCTCGTCGAATATGGAGGCAGGGATGGGGGGGGGATCTGGCGTTTGGTGTGGAGAGCCTGCCCTTGAGAGCTTCCGCGTCTCTTGCTTTTTCAATCCTCGTATGTACAATGAAAACCCTGTTGTTGCGTCAAAAACTTCAAGCCTTCTCATACTGGTCGGTTGAATGACGGGCTTTCCTCTCTGTTATGGTGTACGACATGCGCGGCTTGGCAGAACGGTCGCAAGGGAGGGGCGGTGACCACCTTGAGAGCAGCTCGCTTCGATTCATGCCGATGTACTTTTCCAGTGAGGATGTGTAATTAAAACAAGATGGTAAGATGAGGACTTCGCATTCCGTTCTCCAGTAAGACAGTAAGACATTCTTGAATGTAGATCGCTATTGATGTCTTCTTCAGCTTGTATATGTACAAATGTTGCTCTTTGTTGGTCGTTTGTAGTCAGGGAAGTGCATTTCTATGGGATCCACCTGACCCGGGTGCATGACAAAGTTACCCGCTATGGCGAATCGCAATGTGGTGGATAATATGCATAGTCCCCTGAAAGTGCATATCTCTGCATCATCCCAGAAGGAGCTTGAGGTATGAATGTAATATGAATGCACCATTCTCTTCAATCGACGGTAATTGTCCTCCCTGAACCATTCCTTGGCTTTGGCTACGTCCATCGTTGTTTTCTCTTTGTCGATGGCAAACTCCGACATCCAGTCGGTTGATGTAGTCAATCTCGCTTTGATGTAGTCTATGAAGTAGTCAATCTCGCTTTGATGTAGTCTATGAAGTAGTCAATCTCGCTTTGATGTAGTCTATGAAGTAGTCAATCTCGCTTTGATGTAGTCTATGAAGTAGTCAATCTCGCTTTGATGTAGTCTATGAAGTAGTCAATCTCGCTTTGATGTAGTCTATGAAGTAGTCAATCTCGCTTTGATGTAGTCTATGATGTAGTCAATCTCGCTTTGATGTAGTCTATGAAGTAGTCAATCTCGCTTTGATGTAGTCTATGAAGTAGTCAATCTCGCTTTGATGTAGTCTATGAAGTAGTCAATCTCGCTTTGATGTAGTCTATGAAGTAGTCAATCTCGCTGCTATACACATTGAAGTCTTTTGACCCAGGGCTTGTTGCCACTGTCCGACCAGGCGCAGGCCATACTTGCAGAGACACTGAAGGCTCCATAAGCATCTGTCACCCGCTCGTAGATCGCAAGCCAACTATTGATTTCACAGTCATAACAAACCGAACAATAGCCGCGCTCCCCTTGTCATTGAGAAGCGAGGTCAGGTTGGTCACACCCGGGAAGCCACCGGAGACCAATTGCGGGCGCATGTCAGGCCCTTTATCTAGGCTAACTTCCTGTGTGCATGCAGGTTTAGCTTGTTCCTGCTTTCTTCTGCTTGAGGCACTTTTTACCTCCTGCGAGTAAACTCATTGGTCCTGTGTTGAAACTGCCCCATATGTTGTTCTTGAGATGCTTAAGCCGGAAGCACAGGTAGGCGAAGGCGAACTTGAAGAGCATCACGTAGACGATGCACAAAGAGGGGTCGATGTACTTCAGCAGCACAAAGTGGTTCCCGGTCAGAATCTTCAACACGTCGTGGAAGCATATGTCCGGGAAAAGGTTTTGCTTCAGGTAGGAGGCAAAAGCGGACATAATGATTGCCGTGATGGCGAGGATGCATGCTTCAGTCAACATCGCAGCGTCATGTATCATGCATTGCAGAAAATGTCACCGGAGGTCCCTGTCGGGCGAATCCAAATCCGACCGAATTTGCCAGGATGGAGGTTGCAGACCTCTGGAGCGAGAGGCTGTGCGCCAAGGCCCTTGTCCACCTCTGCATGTGCGAGAGCTTCGAGCTCCTGAGCCTCCCTCCTTGCGTCACACGGCAGACGAAGGTGGAGGACGGAGGTGGAGCTCCACTGCTTTTACCGCGGCTCGCATCCCGACTGCACCAACGAGCGCTGCCTGAAGCGCCGGCGCAGGCGGAGGCCTGCTGCACCCCCCTCGCCACGTGGCTTCCGAAGGATCGCGTGGGGATCAGCATCTACGTCGACAGGGAGAGGCGGACCTTTGTCGGCATAAGGGGGCGCCTGATGCCTCGGACGAGGCGATGCAGGGCAACGTGATGCCGCCGGGCACGCTCGTCCTCGCCCACTTCCTCGAGGACAGGGCGCCGATCAACAGGCACGAGCCGCGGGTGCTGACCTACGACATCGTGATGCACCGCGGGGTGAGCGTGGAGGGCTTGCCCCCGCAGAAGAGGTACTCCATCCTCCTCGAGATGTTCAAGAATCAGAGGGGTATGATCACCCTGCAGTGGAGCTGAAGAACCTGGATTGGCTCCGGGAGGAGCTGCCGCACGATGTGGATCGTCAAGCTCGGGCAGGATCCCTGAGTGTTGCACGTCCACATCGCGCGGCCGAGTGGGTGATGAGCCGGCAGGCAGACTCGGGGGAGTTGAAAGTTCAATGAACGGCAGCTCAACCTATCAGATTTGACGCGTCAGAACACCATGTATACGCGCTCGTTGAAAATCATCAGCGATATCACTGATTTCTCAAAATTAAAAAAAGTCTGGATCGACCACACCGCGTTGTGAAAATCCTAGGCAGAGGATCGTGCAGTACAAGGGGAACCTGCCAAAGTCAAGGGTTGTGAAGGTCATGGACGTCGTCCCCACAGTTTCCCCACCTGCACAACCACGTCCCTACGATGTTATGTCTCCGGATAATTGCTGTACGATCCAACTGGGCAAAGGAGGCAATCGCTTGCCTTTCCGCCATCGAATTCATAATATGGGCATACCGGGTACAATCATTATGTGCAGACTGTGTCCGTGGTACGTGTGCACGCAGATGATGCATACTTCCCCGTCGGGCAGACACTGCAAGTCTTACAAACAGTATCTTGACCATTGGCTGAGCATGTGCTGTACTGATACTGGTTGGCAGAGCACGTTGTGCAAGGCGAACAGGCATCCACAACGACTCCCAGGCTGTCAGTGTACTGGTAATAATAATACCCAGTGATGCATCGACACCAGCATGCCGGTGCTGTGTTCCCTGTATTGACGTCCAAGCATGTTCCATAGGAAGTACTGCAACCAAAAATTTCATAACTGTTGCTGGGACAACTGGGACAATCAATGAACGAGCCATTGACGCTCAAAAAAGTCGAAAAGAAGAGCAAAGCCAACAATCGAACACCTTCTCCCATTCCCTGTCGGCACACACCTCGCATTTCCATTTTTCACGGGGACTCGCCCGCCGACTCCGCTTTTCTCCCCTCGGGGGTGGTTGACTACCCCCCTTCCCCTTATTCCCCTCAGTTGTAAACCACGGTAGGGTAGGGGACACCAATCACGTCCCGCGAAATATTTACATGTCTATCTTTTCAGCCACCGGTACTGTATACCACCCCCCCTATTCCCGGTAAGTAAAGGTATCACAGGGGTAGTCCTTCGGGTCGACCACTCACCCGTTGCCCTGCAGAATTCCACCAGTGGAGGTGGTAGGCCCGGTACCCCCACGTTGCAGCAGATTGCCATGGACCCGAGAGGCCACCTCCCATTGGCAGGAGGGCTTATGGCCCGTAAATCCTATGTCTTCCAACCTCCGAGTCTTCCTCTACATTCATGAGCGCTTCCGTCCTCATGTCACTGCGTCTCACCTCGTCGGTGAGACTGCAGAGCTCTGGCTGACTTGTCTTTGCGGCGGCGACTGACAATGTTCAGTCGGATTAGATAAACCCGCATGCAGCTGCACAAACACACAAAACGTGCTGGTTACTTTTGGTCTTGTGTTTTGTGTGTGCCACGGTTTGTGCAGCTTCTCGCTGTGCGATGTGTGCATGCAGGTTTAGCTTGTTCAAAAAGTGCCTCAAGCAAAAAAAAAGCAGGAATCAGTCGGATCAGTGCTTCCGGGTATCGCGTCTAAGGGAGTTTCAGCTCGGAAGTCCCTCCCCTCCTGCTGATTGTTGCTTGACCCTCAGCCTGCTTGTCTACGCGGCTACAAGGTAAAAAGTGCCTCCGGAGGCATCCGACGTTGCAGTGAGCTCGTCGGCTCCACTCCGGATGTTTCAAAGTCCCCCATCGGAGTAGGAGACTTCCGGCGAACACTCCTCGGGCCGGCGGGCGACTCGAGCTGTCCTCTGGCTCGAGGATGCGGCGTTTGGTCGGCACTTAGGGTCCTCCTCAGCACCAAGGTCAGAATCCGGCGTTGCCCGGCTAGCGAGGAGGACTACCTCGAGCGGTACCGTGTTCCTAGCGAGCACTGCTGGCACCCAGACGCCAGCACTGCTGGCACCCAGACGCGGCAGCGCCAGCCCAAGCGCGAAGCCGCGCAGACAAGCAGCCTAAGGGTCAAGCAATCAAGCAACAAGCAGCAGGAGCATGCAGGAGGAATAAAATCCCTCAGACGCGATACCCGGAGGCAGCCGACTGACCACTGTCAGTCGAGACGTCCGCTGCCGCCACAAAGCGGGCGGCCGCGGACGGAGAAAGGGCAGCCGCCGACAAGGAGCCGGCGCTGCCCGGGGGTCCGCCTGGGGCAGCGGACGGAGGGAGGCTGGACACATGAACACGGTACCGCTCGAGGTAGTCCTCCTCGCTAGCCTCCGAGTCAGCGGTAGCCGAGTCAGCGGTAGCCGCCCGTGACGGCGGCGACGCCGCGGCAATGCCCAAGGACCGGCGTGACCCGACCGATGCCGGGGAGGAAGCAGGCGAGCTCGGACCAGCAGCAAGCACCCCAGTGGTGTCGAGCTCTCCGGAGGCACCCGACGTCACAGTGAGGGACGGAGACGCCTCGCCAGCTCCGCGCCGATCGTCGGCGCCACTCGAAGGGTGTCCCCCATCGGAGTCGGAGACCTCCGGCGAAGACTCCCCCTCGGGCGACTCGACAAAGTCTGAGGAGGAGCTGTCCTCTGGCTCGAGAAGTGCTTGCGCCCGCAAGGGCGTCATGCGCCTCGCACCAGACAAGAGCGCTTCCAGCGTCAGCTGCATAGTGAGGCGCTGATAGGTGGCGGCGCGTTTGCGAGCCAAGACCTCAGCAGCAGGTCCGTCATCAGGCACGAAGTGCCGACCAAACGCCGCATCCTCAAGAGGCATCGAGCGCTGAGCAATGATGTCCGCAAGATACCAGATGAAGCGGAGGGTGTCAGGATGCAGGGTACCGTCCGTCGAGATGGCAAGAGGGATGAACGCTCGAGGAGGAGTAGTCATGGCATATGCAGCGCGATGTTTGCGAATCTTCTCAGACGCTGCAACATGGAGGGCGTCGAGGTTGACCTCCCCCCACTTGGTCAGGTCGGCAGAGCTACCAATGTAAGGGTGGACCAACGTCACGTCCGCCATCAAGCCCTCGTACTGCTCGGACCCTCGATCGCGGATTCCAGGAATGTGGATATCGCCCTTCATCTTGCGGCCATGAGGATGGGAGGGTACCTGCCGTCGAGAACGAGGATCCCCCACTGTATCGATGACGCTCTGAAGACCAGCTTCGTTCAGCATCGACCGAATCGTACGAGTAAGGTTGTCATGCGCCGTGGGAAGCTTGGACTCCGGGATCGGCGTTTGCAGGTCTGGAGATGATGTGCAGCAACGGAGGGATCGAGCTCGCGCTGACATCCATCACATTCCGTCGGACACTGGCAGATCGGCATGCCATGGAGATAGCAGTCGAGCATCTGAGCATAGCGGTGCGGGAAGGCCTTGAGGGGGTAGTAGCTCGAGACTCGCATCGGAGAGTGGCTCAGGTCTCGCTCAGGAAAATGAGCGAAGATGGTAGACTGCAAGACCCTATCCTGCGACTTGAGCGAGTGTGTCCTGCGGCTGTGCAAGGTGAGGATATCACGCTGCTGATCGGTCAGCGCAGCGCGAGCATGCACATGGCGAGGGAAGACGCGCATGACAAGAGGGGTCACATTTCGCTGCGCAGGGGGAGGAATGAAGTGCTCATGAGACGAGTCGACGAGAGCGCGCAAACCAGGGATGTGTACCACAGATGCCGGGGGGCGTCCTGCGTCATCAGGCACAGCAGCCGGGGCAGGTGGGATCGCCGCGCCATCTGCAGCCGGTGCAGGAGCCTTGACACGACGGTAGAGGATCGCTCCAGCATTATGAACGAAGTCGTGCGCCTCAACGAAGAAGGTCGCCAGAGGATGCTTCTGGGCACGGAGAGACCTCGAGCAGTGAACGTCCGTGTAAGGGTGGACCAACGTCACGTCCGCCATCAAGCCCTCGTACTGCTCGGACCCTCGATCGCGGATTCCAGGAATGTGGATATCGCCCTTCATCTTGCGGCCATGAGGATGGGAGGGTACCTGCCGTCGAGAACGAGGATCCCCCACTGTATCGATGACGCTCTGAAGACCAGCTTCGTTCAGCATCGACCGAATCGTACGAGTAAGGTTGTCATGCGCCGTGGGAAGCTTGGAGGATCGGCGTTTGCAGGTCTGGAGATGATGTGCAGCAACGGAGGGATCGAGCTCGCGCTGACATCCATCACATTCCGTCGGACACTGGCAGATCGGCATGCCATGGAGATAGCAGTCGAGCATCTGAGCATAGCGGTGCGGGAAGGCCTTGAGGGGGTAGTAGCTCGAGACTCGCATCGGAGAGTGGCTCAGGTCTCGCTCAGGAAAATGAGCGAAGATGGTAGACTGCAAGACCCTATCCTGCGACTTGAGCGAGTGTGTCCTGCGGCTGTGCAAGGTGAGGATATCACGCTGCTGATCGGTCAGCGCAGCGCGAGCATGCACATGGCGAGGGAAGACGCGCATGACAAGAGGGGTCACATTTCGCTGCGCAGGGGGAGGAATGAAGTGCTCATGAGACGAGTCGACGAGAGCGCGCAAACCAGGGATGTGTACCACAGATGCCGGGGGGCGTCCTGCGTCATCAGGCACAGCAGCCGGGGCAGGTGGGATCGCCGCGCCATCTGCAGCCGGTGCAGGAGCCTTGACACGACGGTAGAGGATCGCTCCAGCATTATGAACGAAGTCGTGCGCCTCAACGAAGAAGGTCGCCAGAGGATGCTTCTGGGCACGGAGAGATCTCGAGCAGTGAACGTCCAGGCTATGAGGAGAGGGCAAGGTCCGGGACATGGGCTGGTCAGAGTACCAAGCGAGGAAGCGAGCGATAGCCGTATAGTAAACAGCGGGGTGTAGACCCTCAGAGGGCGTGAACTCGTCCCCTCCCCGACTATGCGGAAGCTCCCGCTTGAACCTCGCAAACTCTAGCAGGTCGGGATGCGCGGCGAGGTACTGCGAGGAAGGCCAGCGGTGGTATTTCTCAAGCGCCAGGTGGACAGAGAGGTCAAAGCGACGAATCTGTGATTGGACCCGCGGGAGAAACGGAGATGACCCCTGGAGGAAGAAGCGCAGCTTCTGGAGATGGCTCGCCCTCACCAGCGTCTTGAACATGAAGCCATGCTGGACGAGCCCGAGCTTTGAGAGCTCTTCGTTGAGGGTAGAAACCTTCGCTCGGAGCTGACTAGCATGAAATCCATCCGTGCCGATAGGCAGGCCGCCAAGTGTAATCCCGCCAGTGACGACCTCGAAGTGAAGAAGTTGAGTCTTGAGACGGCGCTTAAGGCTCTTCTTCAGCTGCGAGAGATCAGGGTGTTGATGCCAGGAGGGGATGTAAACTTTCGACTCGCGAGGTTGAATCTCTAGCTTCAGATCAGCCACCATGTACTTCTTCATAGCGGACGTAGCTGCAACGGCATCCTCGAGTGGACCGACAAGCACGACGTTGTCAGCATAGGCCAAGACTCGAACAGAGGGAAAAAGCTCTGCGATATGGAGGAGCAGGGGGTGGATACTGTGGCAGAAAAACACGCTGGAGGGGACATCGCCCTGACAGACGCCCGAGGTACACTGAACGGAGGCTGACTGACTTTTGTGAAAGAGTCGAAGGTCAGCAGAGTCTCCATAGTAGCTGGAGAGGTAGGAGGCGAACAAACGGAGATGCTCGCAAGAGGGCAAGCTTGCGCCTTCAGTGATGCTCCCATCAAAGTAGTCGCGACTCGCACGTCCCTCGATTGCATCGAAGAGAGCCTGGCGGTCGAGGGAGTTGAAGGCGTTCTTTGCATCCAAACTCACCAGCACTGTGGGGTTGGCAACATCCTCATCATCACCGCGAGCGTGAAGGGGCAGGAGCGCTGACGCGGTTTGCGAGAACTTCAGACAGCCGTCTCGATCGAGCCCGAACTGAATCGCTCGAGGGTGAGACGAGAGGAAGTGCTGGTCAAGAAATGAGCGAATCCCTGCCAAAGCAAGCTTCGTCGCGAGTCGACGGTGTGCAGAACCGATGACAATTGGCCGGAGACCAGGTTTATCAGCTCCCTTGGAGAGGGGAATAAATCTGCCTCCTCGACGAATGGCTGACAGGGCAGGAATAAGAAGATCCGGCATCCGGCCAAGAAGGACCCCTTGGAGGATATGTTGGCAGTAGAGCTTCAAAGCTGCAGGATGACTAGAAAGGGGTGACAGGTGTTGCCGAATCCTCCACCCTTGGTCATCGGTCCCCGCAAAGGAGCTGTAGCGCTTGCAATATAGGATTTACTGGCAGAAGGTAAAAAGTGCTTGATCGCCTGGATCAGGCTAGTGGTGTCGAGGATGTCAGTCAAATCCACCTGCAGTACTGCAAGCGCTTGCTGGGTGAGATGAGCCGCGGAAGCACTTCCAAAGGCTTGAGGCACTTTTTATCTTCTGCCAGTAAATCCTATAGCCTCGCTCAGAAAAATGAGCGAAGATGGTAGACTGCAAGACCCTATCCTGCGACTTGAGCGAGTACGTCCTTCGGCTGTGCAACTGAGTTTTACTCGGGCACGGTAAGAATGTCACGCAAGAGGGATGAACACTCGAGGAGGAGGAGTCATGGCATATGCAGCTGTTCCTGCTTTGTTTTGCTTGAGGCACTTTTTACCCTCTGCCAGTAAATCCTCTGACCCCCTATGACGTGACGTTGGTCCACCCTTACATTGGTAGCTCTGCCGACCTGACCAAGTGGGGGAGGTCAACCTCGACGCCCTCCATGTTGCAGCGTCTGAGAAGA